GGGGAGCAGACTGTGCCTTTAGATCCCAGTGACCTTCTTAAAGCAAGTGATGCTGACCTGGGTCTCTAGATCTTGTGATCAGATCTGTAAAGTCACTTGTTTAAGGATACAGTCTGTCACTGGTAGAACTACGGCTTGACCTTAATCTGTGTAACACCAAAGCATGTATTCCTCCATCTCCCCTAAATTTCTATCCTCTAGCCTACTTAACCTCAAATGTTTTACTTTAGCAAAGCTATTTGCCTCCCGGTCAGTCCCCAGTGATCCCACAAGGCCCACAGCCTGCAGTCAATTTGTGACTCTAGATTCCACTCTCAGGCCTCCTAGGGGACAAAGAGGCCCCTACCCTTTCCTTCCTGACCACCAATCAGGTTGGCCAGTAGGACCCAAGGCTGGGGGAGACATAACAGAGTGTTGGGCCTCTGAGGGAGCCAGATAGGCCAAGATGAGGACATGACACCTCCCTACCCCATTGGGATTTCAGACCCAGCCTGGACTCTAGATCTAAATGTAGGCTGAGCTGAGTGAATCCTTAGATCCACACAGCCCCAGCTCAGCACCTGTGCTGGCCCCAGATGAGTCCCGGCCAGACCTCCATTCCCCTTAGTCTGAGCCCTCCTCATGGGCTGAAAGCATACCAGGTAAGGTAAGACTTGGCCCGGTGGGGTCTTGCCTAGAGCAGAGCTTGAAACATAAACCTGTAACGTTGGTCGTGGCTTTTTTATTATTTATGTATTTTATTTATGTATTTAAGATTTTTATTTTATGTGTATGAGTGTATTGCCTGCATATGTGAGTGCACTTGTGTCATGCAATGCCAAGGAGGTCAGAAGAGGGAGTCAGATTCTCCTGGAACTGGAGTTAAGGATGGTTCGTAGCCGCCATGTAGGTGCTGGGAATCAAACTCAGGTCCTCTGCAAGAGCAGTCAGTGCTCTTAACTGCTGAGCCATCTCTCCAGCCCCCATTTTAATTTTATTTTATGTGTATTGCCTGCATGTGTGCTAGTGCACCTGTGTCCTGCAGTGCCCAAGGACAGAAAAGGATGTCGGATCCCCTGGAACTGGAGTTACAGTTGTGGATGCTGGGATTTGAATCTGGGTCCTCTGCAAGAGCAGCCAGTGCTCTTAACCACGGAACCATCTCTCCAGCCCCTTTTTATCCATGAGTTCTACATCCATGAATCCAACCAACTATGCATGGAGAATTCAGTTAGACTTAAAATAGTCACATCTGTCCTGAGCATGTACATCCTTTTTCTCTAAATAATATAACAAATATTTACATAGCATTTATATTGGACTGTGTATTGTACGTAATCTAGAGCTGACTTATAGTATGGGGGAGGATTGGATGGGCTACATGCAAATACTCTGCATTTTATATAAGGGAACTGAGCATCTACAAATTTTGCTATAGGCAGGGTCCTGGAACTGGGAACACTGGGATGACAGAACTTCCATTTTGGAATTCCAGTAGAGCCAGCAGGGGGCGCCTGCAGCCACCTGTTCAGATTCCCCACAAACAATTGTATCCTGGTAGCTTTGATCCAATAATTGAGGATTTCTACCTCAGCCCTGCCCCTGCCTCCGGGTCACTATTAAAGCTCATCCCAACTTATTGGGGCTTTATGTTGTGGCACCTATGATGAGGCATGGGGGCACCAACTTTCTCCAGCTGTAACGAGAGGTTTTAAACAGGATGGTCTCTGAGGTGCTCAGGAGTGTGAATGCCAAGATTTTGTGGGTTCACCAGAGATACCAGGCTTTTAGAGGCCCTGTTTATTCTGAGTCTGTTCTAGAGCTGGATAACTCCAATCTCCATAAAAAGCCAATCCTAATTGAGTGGCCTCCACCCTTCCTTCCCTTGCTGCAGAGTGGCTCCAGATTCTTGGGGAGGGCTCCTGCTGCAAAGGGCTTAGGATTCAGAGTCAACTGGACAAGGAGGTAGCCCATCCGACCATCAGTAAATAATAATTAGACTGCTTCCTAACTGAGGGGTGTGGGGGTGAGACGTGCTCCAAGGAACCTGCTCTATGGAGCCAGGCTGGCCAAGTGGCCTCCTCCCACAGAGAATGAGAACAACCTTCAGGCAATAGATCTGGCATCCCAGTTTTCATAGGGAGAAAATGTAGGGTGTAAGTAGAGGCGGGCTGGACCCTCAGGAATGTCAGATTAGTTGTCAGGCCAAAGCCCATATCCCTGTATAGTTTATTAAGTGGAACCTGAAATGCTACCATGTGGAATTTGAGAGTTGGGATGTAGAAGGTTCTACCAAGAAAACGTTTCAGAAGTAGAGGACATCTCGGCTACTGTGGGCACTTTGCTGGTCCCCACTGTGGGCTTTCTCCACAGGCTGTGCCTGGGGCCCTGTTATAACCCCACCCTGAGCCCTGGGAATCACCATTGACACTGGAGGGTTTGGGGTCATAATTTTGACATCAGTAACCTGGAGCTTTCTGCCCTTCCCCTATAAACTAGGCTCAGCCCAGCAGAATGGAAACTCTTCCCTCTCCCTTTGCACTCAGGTGTCCATTTCTCCTGGAATTTCCCAGACCCTGGGGACCTGACCTTTCCTCTCCCTTCTGTGGCTCAGAGTCTATGACTCAGTTTGTTTAGAATCCCACCCCAGCCCAACTATCCCCAACAGACTTATTTACCTTCCTCCACCTCTTGCATGGCCTGTGATTATCCTGACCCCAGCCAGGCCTCTGTCACCAGCTCTAGGTCCTTCCTGCTGTCTGAGTCTCTTCCTAGCCTTGATGACCTGGCCATCTTTGATCCCTTGAATAATACTGGGGGAGGGGGTGTTCTCTGGCCACTGAACTTCTGCCTCTAGTACTGACACACACGGTCAGATTTATAGAGGCAAGAATACATGTGAATAGTTCCCTGGCTTCTCTATTCATGTCTCATCCACAGAGCTCAGCACTGTTGCCACCACATCTTTTATTTGAGATCTCACTTTGTAGCCCAGGCTAGTTTGGAACTCATGATCCTCCTGACTTGGCTTCTCAAATCCTGGGATTACACTACCACCTCTGGCTTCCACTGGGCACTCTGATGGCTGCCATTTGCAATGAGTGGTGTTGGGCTGCTGGTGTTAGGGAGAGGATGTGTCACCCATCTTATTGGGGCAGGGATGAAGAGGAAAAACTACTCGGGGGGAGGTAGGGGTTATTTGGGCCGGGTCCCAAAGGATCCCCGAGAGTTCGCCAGGTGAGCTTCCCTTATGGATTCCCTTACTAACTAGGCAGGGGTTCATCCAAATCAGTGACGTTCTCATTGGCTACTAATTTCCAGAAGTAAGAAAATTCCCAGGAAGGGGAAGCTGTGACCCCACTTGCACAGGCAATGGTGTATTCAAGTCTCCAGTACCTTTACATAGCATCGCGCAACCCCTTCTTTTTGGTTTGGAGACCCCGAAGGAGAGTATCCGAGGAGCCCCCTGGGCCACACCAGTTCGGCCCCCGCGCAGCCCCTGCAATTCCGAGGAAGCTCCATAGGTGGCGACGTAGAGTAGCGTGACCTGGCGGCAGAACCACGAGCCCCTCTCTGGTCCCAGGCCAGTGGCGGAGGCGGAGAGAGGCGGGGAACGGGGGCGGCGAGGGGCCGCGAGCCCGAACTCTGACGTCGGGGGCGGGGCCGGCGGCGGTGACGCGGGGGGGCGGGGCTGCGCATCTTCTCGGCCAGGCCGGCGATTCATTCAAAAGGCGCGCAGGGTGCGCGACCGGCTCGGGACGCCAGCCGAGCCGGGCCCTGGCGCCGCGTTGCAGGGTCCGAGTAGGGGCTGCCGGCCAGGTAAGGAGGGCGCACGGCCCAGGTCGGCGGCGGCTCGCCAGCTTCCGCGCCTCTGAAGTTCTCTCCCCCATCCCGTCCCAGCGGGGTCCCTGAGCCCCGGCCCCGCGCGTCCTCCCGCAGCGACTCGCCGCGGGCCCTGGCACAGTGACCGGCAGAGGGTACGCGAGAGGAAGCGGCGGGACTTGATGTGGGAGGCATCGGCGGGGCTCGGAGCCACCCCCGGCCCGGGAAACTTGGGCAGACCCCCAGGGCGGGGATGCGGGACGGGACGGCTGCGAAGCGGGGCGCCGGGGGCGGGGGGTTCTAAGTGGTGTCAGCCGGTGACTGTGGGTGACACGGCGCAGGAGGCGGCCTGGGCCGGGCCAACGTGGGGCTGGGACACCGAGCGGTGACGCCAAGCCCCGCGGGCGACACAGAGGGGCTCTGTGTGTCTGAGACAGGCCGTGTATATGTGTGATTGTGTGTGCCAGAGACCCCAGGTCACCGGGGTCATTGAGCATGTATGGCCTGCAGTGTGACCAGAGCGAGAACCGCTTAATGTGAGGAGAGGAACCCAGAATGACTTGGCTCATAGGGTCACAGTGTGCATGTGGGCCAAGTAGTGTGCGTGCTCGTGTGTGTGTGTGTGTGTGTGTGTGTGTGTGTGTGTGTATGCGCGCGCGCGTGCGCGCGCCCCTCAGGACCGAATAAGGAGACAGAGGAGGAACCCGACACCTTCCAGTAGATGAGGCGGGTTCAGAGGTCCCAGGAACAAGGGTCTCTCGATGTCAGGAGTTGAGTTTAGAGAGATGTTTGAACCCAGACATGACCTGGCAGTGGAAGAGGGGGTGGTCAAAGCTGGGTGGCATCTGGTGGGATGGCACCTCTGGCACTGAGGTTAGTCTCAGGTGCCACCCCACACTGTCTCACACACACTGAAGTCCCCAAGACCTTGCAGGTTTTATTCTGTATTTTTGTTTGTTTGTTTTTGTTTTTTGAGACAGGGTCCCCTGTAGCCCCAGCTGTCCTGGAACTCACTATGTAGACCAGGCTGGCCTTGAACTCACAGAGATCTGCCTGCCTTTGCCTCCCGAGTGCTGGGATTAAAGGCTTGTGCCACCACATCTGGCTATTGTGTATTCGTCTTGCTGTCAGAATCTGCCCCTGCTGGGCCTCAGTCTCCCAGTCTGCACAGAGGTATTGGGCTGTGAATGGACTGTGAATCATCACTTTGGGATCCTCTGTTGTTTTTTGGGTCAGTCTCTCCTGTTCTTTCCCTTCTGGGCAGAAGGACTACTGAGCAGGAGTACATATAGGGGGCTGTTCTGCTGAGGACACAGTGGTCTAGGGGTTGTGCGCATGTGCTGGTGAAAGGGCTGGAAATACAGTCCTGTCCACAGCTGGTCAAAGATATGTCAGTCTCCCACTCAAAGACCACCTGGTCCTCTAGATCCAAAAATCCTGATCCAGGGGCTGAAGAGATGGCTCAGCAGTTAAGAACACTGACTGTTCTTGCAGAAGACCCGTGTTCAAATCCCAGTACCCACCTGGCAGCTAACAACTGTCCTTAACTGTTCCAGGGGATCCGACAGCCTCTTCTGTACTCCGTGGCCATTGCACGACATGGGTGCACTTACTTACATGTAGGCATAACACTCATACACATAAAATAAAAATAATAAGACACATTCTGTACTTGGATCTCTCTCGCTTTTTTTTTTTTTTTTTTTTTTGGACTTTTTTGAGTGAGACAGGGTCTCCTTGTAGGCCTAGCTGGCCTGGAACAGGCTGGCTTTGAACTCACAGAGATCCACCTGCCTCTTCTTCCCAAGTGCTGGATTAAAGGTGTGTGCCACCATGCAGGGAAAGGAAACAGACTTGTTCCCTGGGAATGGTTGCTAGTCTAGTCTGGAAGTTCTTGTTTGATCTCCATCTGGGAGAGGCCCCACTCCCACAGGAGGGTCAATGCAGTTCATGTGACTAGTTGGCAATTGGGGGCCCCCTAGCTCAGGAGGTAGCACAGGTGGTGGGGTACCATGACTAATGTAAGTAGGATGTGGAGGTTCTGTTTTCTGTAATCCTCTGAAAAATGTTTTCATTTTGGAGGGGACAGTGCCAGGCTCTGCACTGAACACTGTGATCTGCTGTTTTATTGCATTCTTACAGTAGTTTTGAGATGTGGTGACTGCTCAGAGAACCACAGTAGCTTGTCCAAGATCACACAGAGCCAGGACTGTGCCAGGACTGGAATTCAAGTCTTCTGACCCTGTGAGGTGCTTGGAGAGGATCACCACCTTTCTGGTAACTGATCACGACTTACCTCAACTTCCATCTCGCCCCCTTGAGCTAGCAGGCCTGGGAGAGGTCACCAGAAAGGTCTGTCTCCTGCCTTTTAGAGCCTATAGCTGGACATGGAAGTGCCACTGAAGTATCTAGAGTTAGCAGCACAGCCCAAGGGTCCTAGAGATAATGACCTTTGCCATACCTGAGAGATCCCCACCCCCATCTTTGCCCCACCCATTTGCTGTGGTAGGGTGCAGATGGAGTAACCTTGAACTTGTAGCCTGCCTGATCTGGTTCTCTGTCTCCCCTTAACACCTCTTTTAACTCTGATCACTGCTACTCCTTGGGCTAGAGCTGGGGCTGGGGATCAGGGTGTCCCTCAGTCCTCCCTGGAATGACTGGAGCTGTGCTTCTTGGGGCTGATGAAAATAGCTGTCTTGGTCTCCAGGGGCTGAGCCCAAGTTATTTCCATCCCCAGCAAAGAGGTAGAAATAGCTCAGGGCTGGAAGGAGGAGATAGGAGAGAAGGGTTAACCAAGGGTTAACTTCTTTTCTTGTCCAGCCTTCTGGAGCACCCCCCCCCCCATCCACTCTGTGCCCTGCACAAGCCAAACCTTTCTGGGAACTTGGGCCTCCAGGGATGACAGTGGGGCAGGCTGGGTTTGTGATTGGTGTGGTAGTTGCTGGAGGATCTGCTTGTGTCCGCCATTGATAGGCGACATAGAGGGGCCCTACTTAGAGAGCCAGCAGGCTCAGCCCCATGTTACATAGGAAGAGGCTGGGGTTTCAAGAATGGCAGGGGCATATGCAAGCCCCCAGTCTTGTTCATCTATTTCTCCCCTCCAGACAGTGTGCCTGCTTTCTGCTGTGCCACTTGTTCCCTGGACAGTTGGGCAGCACAGGAAGCAGGACCCCAAATATACCTTTGCTAAACAGAAGTTCCAGCTTTGGCTCTCCTCTCCATGTCCAGGTTCCCTCCACCCCAATCCCCCCAGTACTAGGGATCGAATCCAGGGCCTTGCATATGCTAGGCAAGCCCTCTACCACTAAGCTATACCCACAGCTTTCATTTTATTTTTGTTGAAAGGGTCTCACCAAGATGCCAGTCTTGAATGTAGCCCCAACTGGCCTGGAACTCACTATGTAGACCAGACTGGCCTTGAATTCACAACAATCCACTTGCCTCTGCCTCTCAAGTGTTGGGACTGCAGGTGTATGTCACCATGTTGGGCTTTTACTTTTTGTTTTGAGACAGGGTCTCTAAGTTTCCCACCCTGCCTCAGCTTCCCGTGAAACTGGGATTGCAGATATGCACTACTACATCTGGCCTCTGTGTCCAGATCCCTGTCCTGACTGACTTCTCTGCCTTCATTTTCTCTTTTTAGATTAAAAAAGATATTTTCACTCAGGCAGAGGCAGGCGGATCTCTGTGAGTTCAAGGCCAGCCTGGTCTACATAGTGAGTTCCAGGACAGCTGGGGCTACAGGGAGACCCTGTCTCAAAAAGACCAACAACAAAAAAGATATTTTATTATTTATAATTTTATGTGTATGAGCATATTACCTGCACGTATTTAAGTGCACCCGTGTCATGAATTACCCGAGGACAGAAAAGGGTATCAGATACCCTGGAATTGAAGTTATAAATGGTTGTTAGCCACCACGTGGGTGCTGGGAACCAAACCCAGGTCCTCTGCAAGAACAGCCAGTACCCTTAACCGCTAAGCCATCTCTCCAGCCCCTCTTTTTAGATCTTTAAAAAAAATTTTAAATTGTGGGTATGTGTATGTGTCTATGTGGGTGTGTGCACATGAGTGCAGATGTCCTTGAAGTCTGCCTCTATTTCTGAGCAGAGTTGTTCTAGGGGTCAAGATTCAAGGCCACCCCTGTGGGTATGGAGCAGATTCGGTGCTCAGCAAATCTGCCTTCCTCACACAAGTAAGGGCTTTCCTCACAGAAGGCCCTTTACTCTGGGCCAGCAGAGGAAACCATCCCTTGCTGAGGCCCTTTTGTAGCCAGCATCCTCACAGAAGGTACTGGTCGGGACCCTGTCCTTTACAAGGTATTATGGGCTCTGATACTCAGAGCACAAGAGAACCTAGTTGGTGTCACATAGCCACCATGCGGGAGTCTTTTTGGTCTTTTTGAGACAGGGTCTCCCTGTAGCCCCAAATGGCCTGGAACTCTCTATGTAGACCAGGCTGGCCACAAGCTCACAGAGATCTGTTTGCCTCTGCCTCCCAAGTGCTGTGATTAAAGGCCTGCACCACCACGCCCTACCTCATGCTAGAGTCTCAACACGCCTGCTCTTGCCCAACCCCTGGGAGGGCTGGGGGTTTGTCAGGAATTCTTCCATCAGTTTCTAGTGAAGAACAAGACTAGCTTACCCAGAGGAGGAGGAGGAATTGTCGGGCTGTTCAGCACCTAGCCTGCTGCTGGATAGGAGGTAGACCAGAGAGGAAAGGATTTTACCTGGTATTACCCAGCAAGGCCTGGCCAGCTCCATTCCCCCTCAGGATTGGTGGGCCATAGGAATCTGGATCCTTGGGCAGATCTAGCAGCCACAGTGTGTTAAGTCCCTGTATATACAGGCCAGGCTGGTGCTGCGAGGTAGGGCTGGGGAGCAGAGGACAGAAGCCAGTGCTGCCTGCCTGCTATAGTCTCAGCCTACCTATCTGGTAGTCTGAGGCTACCAGATCTTAGTGCCATGCTCCAATGTGTCATCAGTCCTAGACATAAGCAGGGAATCTAGGGCTTTGGGAAGGTGGTTACTTGCAAGACCCTAGTACCACTAGGCTCCAAACCCGGGTCTGAGGCCTTTGAAGTCCAGAGTTCTTTCCTGGGCCACCCTGGGAAAGATGAGAGCTCTATAAATAAACTGCCCGTGTGGCTGCGAGA